CTATGAAATTTTGGGATTTGGAGTTTTATGAGAATTTAGTCTTCTCTGTCCGAGAAATGTGGTGCCACAACACAAGCTAGAGTTCCCAGAATTCCACAGGATGTAGCCAGGGCAGTTAAAAGTGGTGTCAAAATTGGATTATTTCTGCAGTGAGGCTGCAGCCAAAACAGTGTTAAACTGGATTATTTCTACAGTGCAGATGCACTCCCAGTCCAAAGTCATGCCCTCACTATAGGAAGCCAATAAGGAAATGCATTCTCATTTTAATGTCCAAATTAAGCATAACTTTCTAGGCCACTATGGTGACTCTGCAGCAGAAAGAGCGCCTGAACTGCTTTGCGCCACATTTTTCAACAGCTCAGCGTCGGTGAATAATCGGAAGGCGATCTCCTCGCACTCATGGGATGCCCCACATTCGAACAAGCAGCCGAACATCTGGGAATTGCCCTCCTCGCAGACGGCCAGGTCGGAGTAGCCGCTGGGTCCTGAGTTCAAGACCCAGGGGGTTTTCCATGAGCCCTGGTCCAACGGGTCAGTATTCAAGTAGATGCCCAGGTCCAAACGCCTGTGTCTGTTGGTGGGATGGGAGAACATCAGCCACGATTTGATGCACTTGACTGAGGCCGAGAAGGGACTGGTGTCATGTACCGGCGCCGCTTTGTCAGCATCTTCCTTCGAACCCAGATCCAAAGGCTCGAGCATGGGAGAGAAACTCACCACGCTCCCCTGGCACCCCCGTGAGGTCTCGCACAACTCTTTGCACAAGGACGAGTTCACAAATTGGTCCCCGCTATCCGCACACAGAGCCCCTGCCCGGTATTTGTGGAGACTGCGGGCATTGCAATACAAGACTTGGGTATTATCCGGGCGCCTCAGCTCAGCGACTTGGCACTCCGACGTCCGCAGTCTCTTCAGGGGTTGGCTCCGGGTCCAAGTCCGCCCGCCATCGTCGCTGTAGAAGGTGAGGCAATGGGGTTTGGTCCAGCAAGTCAGCGGTCGGCCGAATAAACGCTTATGGATATAGTAGGCGTACGCTGGGACCACCAGCCGCCCGGAGCTCAGCTGCACCCCGTGGCCCGGTCCGACGGCAAACGTGGCCCAATTTTTCACGTCGTCCCCGATCACTTCCTCCGTGAGGTCGGTGGTTTGGCTCCACGTGCGTCCGCCATCTTGGCTAGAGACGTAACACAGCTTGGCGGCGTTTCTCCCCGTCCTGATCTGGTGCCACTCAGTGATATAAGTCTGGACGCAGATGAAAAAGAGGAAAATGGTGCCGTTCTTTTTGTCGTACACCGGACAAGGGTTCATGGTGCGATGGCTGGGCAGTGCGGCCGTCTCCAGAGATTCGAGAGGTCCCCACTAGAGCGAGACGGAGAGAAAGCATAAAATACTTGAATAAATCCTTTTCATTGTACTAAACAATATCAAATGGACTAAAATAATTTTTTTTCAATCTTTTAAACAAGATTTAAGATATCAAATCGAGATATCAAATATGGAGCTATCAAAGATCTTAAACAAGATTTCAAATATCAAATTGAGATGTCAAAGATTAGTGCTTTTTTTAAAAAACTTTTTAAATGGGATTTAAGATATCAAATTGAGATAGCAAAGATGGAGATATCCAAGATCTTAAACAAGATTTCAGATACCAAATTGAGATATCAAAGATGTAAGAGATGAAGTGTACCTAATATTTTTTTAAACCTTTTAAACGGGATTTTTAAGATATCAAATTGAGATAGCAAAGATTTAAGATATCAAGTGTACTAAATGTTTTTAATCTTTTAAACAAGATTTAAGATATCAAACTGAGATATCAAATATTTAAGATATCAAAGCTCCTAAATGTTTTTAAATCTTTTAAACAAGATTTAAGATATCAAACTGGGATATCAAATATTTAAGATATCAAAGGTACTAAATGTTTTTTTAACCTTTTAAACAAGATTTAAGATATCAAACTGAGATAGCAAAGTTGGAGATATCCAAGATCTTAAACAAGATTTAAGATCTCAAATTGAGATGTCAAAGATTTAAAAGATCAAATGTACTAATTTTTTTTTTAAAAAAGCTTTTAAACAAGATTTAAGATATTGAATTGAGATAGCAAAGATGGAGATATCAAAGAGCTTGAACAAGCTTTAAGCTATCAAATTGGCTTAAAGAGATTGAAGGTACCAAATATACTAAATGCTGTTTTTTAAAAAAATCTTTCCAACAACTTTTGATATTATTCTGGTCTGTTTTATACTGCTCAGCTTTTTATCACGTTTTGCGTGATGGATTTCTTGTGTTTTAATGGTCTGTGACTGTACAATAAAGATTTATTGGTTCATTGGTAAAATAGGAAAAATGAGGTGTGTTTTTCTCTCTCTCTCCACACAAAACAACACTTACATAGCACATTTATGCATCAGGTTTAAAGTTAAATAATTTTCAAAATTATCAACCAAATACAAATACATTGCATTCAAAACATATAATTACACATAACATTGACCTATCCAAGCATACATCCGCTCTCTCATATTACTCCTAAGATCATTTATATCTAAATTCATACACTTAAAAATAAATGGTCTTATAATTTAAACTTCCTGATGTACTTTCATCACCTTTTCACAGGTTTATTGATTTTCTTAGCTCTACTAAATTTTTAGTCCTGTTTCTTGCGTATATATATCCCTTTCTGTCTATTTTTCACTTCTCGCTTTACAATTTCACGAGAGAATTTTGGACCACAGGGGTGCGATGTACACAAGTAAGTAAAAGGTTTCTGGAACATGTGCACATCACAATTTGTGTGTGCGTGTGGGTTGAAAACTCCATGCATATGATCACACGTGCTTTTTGCAAGCATATGCATGAGACCCATTAATAGAAAGTATTATATTTTTAATTTGGAACCCACATGCGCTTGGAATGAATGAGCCGTCTAATTTCAGATTATCTTTAAATAGCACATGAATGCCAATTCCACAATGCCAGAGTAATGTAATGTAATGTAATGTAATGAATTTTTCATTTTGGGGAAAAGAAAAAGTCACTTGGTGATGATGATGACACTGACAAAATTATATTATCTCAGTACTTTTATCATTACATATATTATTTTGGCATAAGAGTATGCCTTTAGGAAGGGCAACATCGTCCAAGATTTTTCGATTCCCAACTCTGTTCCTACAAGATTGTCCATCACAGTTCCTCTCCTTCTTGTGCAACTACAGCATTGTGAGAAGTCACAACTTAAAAAAAAGTTTTTTGGACAAAAACTCCTAGAATCTCCCAGTCAACAAGACTTCTGGAGATGTCGTCTAAAATAAATTACTTTTTCCACACTTTTCCTAAGCTGCGTGCGAGAACCATACACAAGATGGTTGCATCTGCACTGCAGAAATAATGCCGTTTGATACGGCTTTAACTCCCAGGGCTCCAGCCGACAGAAATCCTGGGATTTGTAGTTTGGGGAGGCACCGGCACTCTTTGGCAGAGAGGTTTAAAGACCTCGCAAAACTACAAATCCCAGATTCCATAGGATGGAGGACAGCACTTAAAGTGGTGTCCAACTGCATTATTTCTGCAGTGTGGATGCCCTTGCTGAAGCAGACGAAAACAAGTTTGCTCCATCAACATGACATCCGTTTGGATATTTTAAAGATATTCAGGTTTTATAGGCTGGCAGTGAAGGGTAGAGAAGCACTCCAACAGCCTGAGCTAATAATAATAATAATAATAATAATAATAATAATAATAATAATAATAATAATAACAACCATGAGATGGTAGCAATGAAAGACCTAGGAAGGACTGATGGATGGATCCAGATGCACAAAGGATGCATTTGCAGTCTTGCTATCCTATCCTCCAGCCCAAAGCGTTTGCATATAAAAAACTAAATATTTATTTATTTATTTATTTATTTATAGCCCACCCAATCATAAGGAATCCAGGCGGGTTACAGCAATAAAAGTGCATGGAATACAATAAAATTCAAAATTAGTCCCTTCCCAACTCCCCCCTCCCAAAACCCAATACTAAAATTACATTTTATATTGAAATTATATTTCATTTATGCAATTGTTTTTTGGAAATCTAGGTAAATATTTATAAATATTTATATTTATTTATTTATAAATATGAAGATTTGTTTCTGTAAATAAATAAATACATAAATAGCTCTAAAGAAATACATTCTGTGTCACTAGACAATGCTCTCAGGAAGGTTGCAAGTTTCTGGAGTCAGCCCCGGAGATATTTATATATCGATATACCGACGTTATGTGCTCCTCAGCTGTTAATCCGTCAGCCTTCCTGGCATACTGTTAACCTTTTCCTTCTGATCTTTAGACCAGCCTTTCCCAACCTGGTGCTGGACTGCCATGCCTATCATCCCCCCCTCCCCAGCCAGCTGGAATCCGACACATCTGGAAAGCATCAGCTGGAGAATGGCTGCCTTGCGCTTTAGCTTTGCAAGGGCGAAGTTCTGGGATTTTAAATCCTTTTTTTCTAACGCCAGGGTGGGATTCATACAGCCCTCCAGATGTTGGACTGCAACTCCTAGCAGCCCTAGCCAAGGTAACCAGTGGTGAGGAATGCTGGGTGTTGCAGTCCAGCAACATCTGAAAGGATATGGCTTGGGTCCAGGCTATTTGAAGGACCATATTTCCTTGAGATGAGAGCCAGTGTGGTGTAGTGGTTTGAGTGTTGATTTAGGACACTGGGAGATCAGGGTTCGAATCCTGGCTTGGCCATGGAAACCCACTGGGTGGCCTTGGGCAAGTCACACTCTCTCAGCCTCAGAGGAAAGCAATGGCAAACCCTCTCTGAAGAAAGATGCCAAGAAAATCTATGATAGGTTCGCCTTAAGGTTGTCAGAAGTCGCACACAACAACAACAATCTCCCTTTATGAGCCCATTACAGGTCTAAGATCTTCAGGAGGGGCTCTTCTTTCTGTCCTACCACTTTCTCTGGTGCGCTGTTTTCATGGGTTTGCATAGTCTTGGCATAGTGGTTTGAGCGTTGGACTATGGCTCTGGAAACCAGGGTTCGATTCCCAGCTCGGCCATGAAACCCACTGGGTGATCTTGGGCAAGTCACACTCTCTCAGCCTCAGAGGAAGGCAATAGCAAACCTCTTCTGAACAACTCTTGCCAAGAAACCCTCATGATATGTTCACCTTAGGGTCGCCATATGCCGGAAACAACTTGAAGGTGCACAAGAAATATATACTTAGCATGTGGTCACTCACATAAAATTAAAAACAACATATACTAAAAACAACAATCACCCTATTTTATACAAAAGCTTTAAAAATCAAATACTCCTATTAAAAACACCAAATTACAGTGGGTCCATGATATCCGCTGGGGTTTGGTTCCAGGACCCCCAATGGTTACCAAAATCCGTGGATGCTCAAGGCCCATTATATACAGTGGCGTAGTTAAATGGTGCCCCTTATATAAAATGGCAAAATCAAGGTTTGCTTTAAGGAATTTATATATTTTTAAAATATTTTCAAACCATGGATGCTTGAATCCGTGGATAATAAGTGGAGGGCAGGCTGTACAAGCATTAACGTTGGCTTCCCCGTAGGGTATGCTAGGGGCAAAAATTTATGCCCCATACCTATTGCACTACGAGCCATGGTGACCATAGGACTAGGACTCGAGAGATCAGGGTTCGAATCCCGCTCGGCCATGGCAGTACCTTGGGTGATCTTGGGCGAGTCACACCCTCTCGGCCCCGGAAAACCCTGTAACAGGGCCTTAGGGTTGCCGTTAACGGCCTTAGGGTCGCCGTAGGTCAGAAATAACCTGAAGGCACACACCAACGAGGACAATCTTTTAATGAATTAAGGAAAACTGATGATGAATACTACAGCAAGAAGCGATACCTGGACAGATGTTCCTTCCTTCTTCCCTCGCTTCATCACCAGGAACTTGGCGTCTTCATCTCTGGGCGAGGAGCGTTCCTCCGCAAAGGCCAAGAACGTGGATTCGTAGGGCAGGTAGATCAATGCTGGGATGCGGTAGGTGAGCCCCCCTCGTTGCTTCTGGCTAAAAAGGGTCACCCTCCCGGAGCCGGACGGAGCCTCTGCCATGTTTTCTGGACACACAGAAATATTCTGGAAAGGTAAAAACAAAGGGAAGACACATTTACCCAAACCACAGTACAGCCAGCCCTCCATACCCACCGATTCTTTATCCACCGAGTCACGCATCATCCAGTTTGAAAATATTTCCAAAAAATATAAATCCCCCCCCCCAAGCAAACCTTCATGTTGGCATTTTATATAAGGGACACCATTTCACTACGACGTTGCATTTAATGGAACTTAACCATCCATGGATTTTGGTATCCACGTGGGGATCCTAGAACCAAACCCCAGCGGATAACAAGGCCCCACTGTGATTTGTTGCTTTGAACAGCAAACTGAAGGTAGAATGTGAAGTTGAAGGCTTTCACAGCAGGAATCCATAGGTTTTTGTGGTTTCTGGGGGGACTGTGAGGCCGTGTTCTAGAAGAATGTGTTCCTGACGTTTTGCCTGCATCTGTGGCTGTCATCTTCAGAGAATGCTGGCATGGAGATGTGTGGGGTATATATACGGTGAGACCCTTGGTATACCCTACACACCTCCATGCCACCATTCTCCGAAGATGCCAACCACAGATGCAGGCGAAACGTCAGGAATCCATTCTTCTAGAATACAGCCTCACAGCCCAAAAAAACTATGAAGGTTGAATGCTCCTGACCAGGATGGCCAGTATTTCGTACCAGCTACTCGGTGAAGTATTTGTTGTTGTGCGTCTTCAAGTTGTTTCCGACTGACAGCAATGCTAAAGTGATCCAATCACAGAGTTTTCTGGGGCTGAGAGCGTGTGACCCACCCAAGATCGCCCAGTGGGTTTCCATGGCTGAGCATGGATTCGAACCCAAGAATTGTAGTCCCATTTTCAAACCACTGCACCACCCTGGGTCTTGCATGATCCTCATCATTGTACTAAATTGTATTGGACACCGCTAAGAAAAGATTCACCTTCCTGGAGCGACCCAGAACATCCAAAATGTTTTTTGGACACACAGAAATATTCTGGAAGGGTGAAAAAGAAGAAGGATCAAAAGAACCAGGCAGGGCCAGAGTGGAAGTCTGAGAGCAGCCACTGAGAATAATAATAATAATAACAATAATAACAATAATAATAGACAAGTCACAGTCTTGCATTCAGGATGTTGCATTCGTTCACCTGTGCCCTTTTAAAAAGCCAGCATTATTTGACTCCAGAGAAAATTTCAGGAATGTATAAAAACTCAAAACAGTGTATGTTGAAATGGTATATATATACCCCACACACCTCCATGCCAGCATTCTCTGAAGAAAGACTCGTTTCTGCGTATGGGGTTGTGCAAAAAAGCAAGAAATTTCTGGTCCGAAATTCACACATGCCTAATAAAAATTACAGGAATTAACTTCAGGAAAGCCCCTAAAATGTATTTATTAGGAATAATCGATGAGGAAATGGGGAAAAAAAAGATTATGGAAGGATGCTTTTCTTTCTTATTACAGCAGCAAGCACTGTATATGCGAGAAGTTGAAAAGAGACAGAAAGTCTGAAAATAATGGAGTAGATATGGAAAGTTATGGACTATACAGAGATTGACAAACATGATAAGGAATAAAACAGCAGATAGAATGGAAAAACAGAGGTCGGGGTGAGAGGTTTTATGTTTGTTGCGGTTTGTTGGTCGTGTTTGTTATATTTATTATAAGATCAAGTTATATAATATGCAATATAAGATAAGATAATAGAATATAAATAAAAAGTCGCCATTCACACTCAGGGTGCGTAAGATAATTGCAATGCAATGGTTGTCGTTTTAATTTTGCTAGTTGTTTACATCACAACTGTTGCTGTTATGTGAAGTCGTAGGCTTTCATGGCCGGCATCCATAGTTTTTTGTG